CCAGGCTGGGATGCCGAAGAACGAGGGGACGTAAAGTCTCTGCGCCATGTTGAAAGAATCAGCTCTAAACAGGAAGCACGTGAATTTCGTCAGATGTAAAATTAGAGCAAAGCGGAAATTGAGTAAAAAAAAATTTCGTGACCTTTCCCCTTTGCCAGTCCTCAGAAAAGTGACGCTTTCCTGGAAAGTTGCAGATAGTTATTATGAAATTACGTCTTTTGATTGGCTGATAAATTAATAACAATTAAACACTGTTTAATATTATCTTAAGTGTTAAAACAACAAACTTTGTATACTTCTACATAACTTCTTACACTTACAATATACAAAACATAAACATGCACACCTTGTTTATAGTTTCAATGTTAAAAAAAAAGAATTATTTGTTTAAAATCACGATATTTTTAAACTTAAACAATTTAGTCATTTTTTCAGATAAATTTATACACACATATATAAATATATTTATAAATTTGAGGCCATATCAGCATGATCAGGATCATTCATTAGATTCATTGAGACAATCTAAAGCAATGTATTACACACCCTTTAATCAAAATATCAATTTTACTGCATTTAACAAAATGAAAGAGTAATGAAAAAATGAATGTCAATATAGGGTAAACTTGTAGAATTAAAGTTTTCTTTCAACATCAAAAAATATAATTATGAATGGCTTGGTTAATCATTATTAACATGATTAAGAAGCAATAACAGGTGTTCTGGTTGTTTTTAAGTGTGATTCAGAACATAAGATCGAGAAACAGACTTTAATTTCATTTTGTTCTGTCCTGATCAATTTATCAACCAAATAACAACATGACGTTTTAACTTAATCATAATCTTTTTTTTATAATTAATGTTTAAACACTACAATTTTTAAGTCATAACATGTAACATTAATATAAATGGTGTAATATACCTTGTAAGTGATTCCAGTAAATAAATTTCTAATACATGTAATTGTCTTTTTAATTTATTCCCTTAATATGAGATAATTTCAGGGTCAGTAATGACTATGTTTTGGATGATTTAATGCAATTGACTTATCTTTTATAAATCAAAGTGAACAGCTTATTATGAAACATTCCCCAAAAATATGGATATAAACAACTACGAGATGTACTTTTTATGTACTCCCATACAAAAAAAAGGTACAGATAGGCATACCTTTTTTGTGCCTTTTCTGTGCCTAATGTGTACCTACTATTATAGGTACAGAAAAGGCATACCTATTCTGTACCAAAAATGAACTTAATTTTTTTCTAGTGTACCTAAAATGTACCTAATTTGGACTTTGTCATTTTACAGTGTACCTAAAATGTGCCTACTTTAGACTTTGTCATTTTTCAGTGTGCCTAAAATGTACCTAATTTGGACTTTGTCATTTTACAGTGTGCCTGAAATGTACCTACTTTAGACTTTGTTATTTTTCAGTGTGCCTAGAATGTACCTATTTTGGACTTAGATATTTTCCATCTTACCTACTATGAACTTTGTCATTTTTCAGTGTGCCAGAAATGTACCTATGTTGAACTTAAATATTTTCCAGTGTGCATAAAATGTACCTACTTTGGACTCAGTCATTTTTCAAAGTGCCTGAATTTAAATACTTTTTTAGATGACTGGTTCTTTGTATCTGGGTGGGGGTGGGGTGGGGGGTGAGGTTGAATTATCATTCAACAATTTGTGCATTTAATTTTAAATAACATTATACTTCAGATTTCACATCATTATTTCAAGTCCTCAGTATAATATATAGCAGTGTTGTGGAAAGAAAAAATAGGGAGGGGTGATAACATTGTTACTCTCAAATGCCAAATATGTAATTATCATTTATTCAATTAATCTTCTTATGGAAAATAAAAGGTAAAGATCCATTTCTGTTCTTAAAATATGCACTAGTTTGTCTTAAAGAGTGTCAGTTCTTAGTAACTTTGATTAACATTCTCTAAGACATAGGGGATTGTCTTATAAAGTTTAACACTATACAATTATATTGACCATTAACACCCCCCCCCCCCCCCACTACAAACACACTTGCTAAATTATTATTTTTTTTTTTTTTTTACATGTCATTTTATCAAGTTTTTGCATTTATAAAACTAATTCTGCAATACTGTGATATGTCAATTAGAGACAGGAAATCACTTTCCGCTTGAATGCATACAATACACAGGTAATCCACAAAGAGATCAGGTCTAGTCCATGCACCTAGTGAAGTGGACACAAAGTCATGTAACCAACAGCCAAATCTGCTTAGTTACGATGCTTCTGTGTATTATTCTTGCATAATTATTCTTTAATTTCTTTTGCTCTTAAAGAATTTAATGATAAATGAATGTTTTAACTATGTGAATAAACCGATAAACTAAGATATAAAACGTTTTAAAAACTAAATACATTTTTTTTCAAAACCAGGTTTGCTAGCAAACCCCTGTAGTTGTAACAGATACAACTTTTTATTATAAATTATCAGTAATAAAATTTATTTGCACATCTCTATGTCCAGCAGAGGTCCCATTACGCAATCATTGCATCTCTCTCTCTCTCTCTCTCTCTCTCTCTCTCTCTCTCTCTCGTACATTTTGTAACTACAAAAATGTTTGGGATGTTTAGATTAATTTTATAGGCTGAGAATTTATATCCATTAGACCAGTTACTAGTGTATTTTGAAATAGACTTTGTTTATCTTTGAATGCAAAACGATGTAGATTTCCTCGAGTAAGTGTTAGTACCGGATGACCTTCACCCTGCAGAAATTGTTCGTGTATCACATGTAGTTCTCCACAAACATGACAAAACGGTGATTTCATTAGATTTTTCAGCTCAACATGAATGCAGAAGAATATTAATTACAGAATGAAATAAATAGAGATGCTTTAACTTTTACCGGTAGCATGGACCTATATACTGGTAGTATATAGGTCTCTGCCGGTAGTTGGGCAGTAGCATTAAAAAAAAGTGTACATTTACAGGAATTTCCTACAAATAATAGCCCCCAAGATGCTTATCATTTATAATTATTCACAAACTAGGCATTTATGGATTGTATACCTGTTATAATTTACATGATGTTCCATGTATACATGTATTTCGATGTTTGTATCACTCTCTGGTGTCAGTTACATTAATTAAGATTTTAGTTGAAATCTAACATGTAAGAAAATTATGAATAATTGAAAAAAAACCAGGGGGCCTAATCAATTTGAGAGTGATTTGTTATGTAAACAAACACAAAATAGTAATGGCGGTCAAGATGGCGGTTCAATTATTTGCCCAAAATAGCCACGCTAAATTTCAAGGATTTCATCGCAATCGGCTTTCAGTTTAAGTTGGGGCTTCATTAAATAATTGTTGAATGTTCATTGTTATAATTATAAATTGTTTACACGAAATATTTTATGAATAATTTAATAAATTTTAATAAAATCACGTGACTCCAGCGAAGTCTACGATTGGTCAGTGGAGAGCGCGGACATTTCTGAGTCGTTTTGAAAATTTGCCGAGATGAAAGCCTAAAACAGAAATCGGAGAATTATAGTTCGGTAAGTCTTTATTTTAGTGTAAATTTTCATGCTGCTTGTTGTTAGTGTATTTGTGCACGTAAAGAATGCATTAGAATGTGAATATCAAGTGTAAATTTTACGAAATTCTAGGTAATTGTACCGTAGATTTTTAGTTTGTTTTGATTCAAGATGGCCGTGTAGCCAGTGCTACAGCCTACACATGAAGTGAAGACATATAAATAATAATTATTTTGTTTAACCTGACGTGTAACAATAAGACATATAAAGTGTTTCACAGTTTCAGAGTCTTTTTAAAAAATAATTAACGTGTCAATATCGCGGGAACAGGTTATGTACAGTAGCCTCTGCATGAGCATGGCGATAATAACAAACAGAAATTTAAATGATCAGTATGAAAATTTAATCATTGGCACATGAAATTTGAAATATAAAGTAAAGATCTCTATATAAAAAAGGGGGGGGGGATTTCTAACATGTCTTAATTAAAGTATCAAAATTACAGCATTTATAAAACATAATATAACAAAATTAACTGATTTGAATTTATGTTATAAGTTTACATAAAATCATTTAAACCCCTATCTCTCCACTTGGTTCATGCCAGGGAAAAGAGGGGGGGGGGTGTTATGACACACATCTTTTATTTCAGAGTGACAATGTTTCTGCTTTCAGTATTATATTTTAAAAAAAATTATGTATATAAATTAGTGTAAACTTTGTTAATAATAATGTCACATAATTTCATGAACAAACTTTCTTTTTCAGCAAAATTCTTGTCCCCTGTAGTCTTTCTAAACTTGGGGGAAATGCATCAAGACTATAACTCTGTCAGTAAGTATGAAATCTAATCTGATTTTTAAAAAAATATAAATATAGTAAAATTAATTACCACTTTACAAACTCCATTGTAAATTTTAGGAATTTCAGATGGAGATCGTAACAGGGTAAGGGGGGGGGGGGATTGGTGTCCAAATCACTTTTAATTGATTGATTAAGTATATATACATTCAATAACATAATATATAGTAATACATAATGCAAGTAGGAAGGAAGTTCCAGACTCCCCGGACCCCTCCCCTATAGATTCAGGCATTGGATTTAATATTTTTGAAAATAATTTCAAATTGAAGACTCAAGAGCAACAACTTTTTCAGAATTGAAGGGAATGGCATGAAAGAAGAAAGACGGAATTGCGTGGTACATTCAAATGGAGGATCAGTTTTTATAAAGAGTCCAGATGAAAATCGCAACTGTACAGCAATGAGTAATTACCCTGGTAAAAGGTCTATTACTGTGCAGAAAATTCTGTGGTGCCAATTGGGTAAAAACTCTATGAAAGAATCGCCATAATCTTAAAGTGTCATCGCTTCAGAAATTAACATTACATGAATTGCACATGCAGCAAGTGAATAATGTGTGGCCAAAAAAAGGACATGAAATGGAGTATACTTTCAATACTCTTACGGTGTCTTAGTGTATTTAAATTACATTAATTATGTTTTGTATATGCTGAAAAGGTATGTTTATTTTTTTTTCTTGCAAAAAATGATATTAAATATCCTTATTTTGTTAAAGGTAACAATATTAATTTTTTTTTAAATATAGGAGATTTGTCATATATAGATTCCGTTTATAGAGAGGATTTAAAATAGTTATTTTTCATATATATTTTCATATAGCATCATATAATAAATTTTTACTTGTTTTAACCTGTACCTGATAATTATTGTTAAATTTTTCCTTAATATAGTCCTGCCCCATTCACAAGGAATGATAAGTATGTATTTTTCATGTAAGGTCAAAAATTTAAAAAATTTGGATGGAGAAAGAAATTTTTAACTACAGGGTTTTGTGGTTGATTTGTCAACAAAAGCCCATTTTTTTGATATGCCTAAAATGTACCTTTTTCTATAGTTATGCGGTGTGCCAATATTGTGCTTTTTTAGTACCTAAAATGTGCCTATTAATGATTTTTGTACAACATAGGTACCTTGTAGGTATACTTTTGGTATACCTCTGGCATACTTTTGGCACAGCCTTGAAGGTTCCTAATAGATTGATATGTAGGCACTTTTTAGGTATGCCTGGAATGTACCTACTGGTCTAGTTAGATGATGTGCCAATATTGTGCTTTTTTAGTACCTCAAATGTGCCTATTAATGCTTTTGGTGCAATATAGGTACCTTGTAGGTATACTTTTGGTATACCTCTGGCATACTTTTGGCACAGCCTTGAAGGTTCCTAATAGATTGATATGTAGGCACTTTTTAGGTATGCCTGGAATGTACCTACTGGTCTAGTTAGATGGTGTGCCAATATTGTGCTTTTTTAGTACCTAAAATGTGCCTATTAATGCTTTTGGTACAATATAGGTACCTTGTAGGTATACTTTTGGTATACCTCTGGCATACTTTTGGCACAGCCTTGAAGGTTCCTAATAGAATGATATGTAGGCACCTTTTAGGTATACCTAAAATGTACCTATCTGACTCTTAGAATTATATGCCATACTATGCATAGGCATACTTTAGGTATGCCTCACTGCTCAATCTAATGTTTTATGTGTGCCTAAAATGTACCTATATGTGAAATAGAAAAAAAATAAATCATTGAAAAGTATACCTTTAGTATGCCTTTTTTGTACCAATTTGCTACCTATACTTGAAGAAGTGGTTCCAAACTTGTATACTTTAGGTATACCTTTTTTGTGCCAATATTTATCAAGAATAGGCATGCCTAATCTGTACCTTTTTTTGGTATGGGCTGTGTCACTTAATGATCGTGATGATGTGCTTAATTATAAACTTACAAGTTAAAACACAGATTACAAATTATGAACTATTCATTTATAGCCTTGAACATGTTGAAATGGTTCAATTGCATACAATCAACTGATTTAACTGCTTTTTTATCATAATATAATAATATAATGTGATTTAAAGAAAATGAAATATTTTCTTGTTAGTTTATCAATTTCCACTGTGTTTGGAATATACAAAGGTGACACATGGAAGCCATACATGTATCTAGTGGGGAGGACTGGTAGAGAGGATATACAAACAGTGACCACACAAACAATAGGCCAGTGTCCATTTGACACTATTAGACAAAAAAAAAAAAACCCCACCAGAATAATTATTAAGGTCTTCCGTCTTCACGGAAGACCTTATAGTGATTCTATTGTTTCTTATTATTATTAAGGTCTTCCGACTTCCTTCGGAAGACCTTACTGTTTTTCTTATGTTTCCTATTATTATTATTATTCCCTTTTCATAGTACACGTGATTTCTCGGAAACTACTTGACCGATTTCAAAGATTTTTTCAGGAATGATGCATTGTTATAATATCTCCAGACCATTTTTTTATTTTTTGTAAAATCACTTCCGGTCACATTTTTTGTCCGATTTTCTTTTTTTAAATTGCCATTTTGTCCAAGCAACTCCTTCTTAACCACTCAAGATTTAATCATGATACTTTCGGGGATGATAAAACATCTCCTTCAGTTATGCATGGCATCTTTTGATTTTGCATCCGTCACTTCCAGTCGACACAGGAAGTGACATTAATTTTCGAGATTTTTTTAAAAATTTAACCGTTTTGAATAATGGCAAGTAAAACTTATGTTCACATTAACAATCGTCAACAAAACGCATCCATTTGAATAACTTCCGGTGTAAACCGGAAGTAGTCGAAAAATTAAACTTTCTCTCTTGCGTCAAAAGAAATAGAACAAATGGTTTTATGTAAGTTTTTTTCAAAGTTTTTTTGTACTTGTGACTTTGACGTCGACCGGAAATGATGCCTAAATTGTCTAAATTCGTCAAATGATGTCACTTCCGGTCAAACCGGAAGTAGTCAAATTAGCTTATTTTGAAGGTTTTGACATAAAATTGAATTTTTTTTTAAATTTTAGAGACACTGAAGGCGTCTTAACTCATTCCTTTCTCTTATTGATGTCACTTCCGGTCAAAACTGGACGGAAGACCTACTCGTTGCTTTGCAACGAGCTTTGCTCTAGTTAAGGTCTTCCGACTTCCTTCGGAAGACCTTATTGTTATTCGTCTGTTTTTTATTATTATTATTATTATTATTTTTCTTTTTTTCATAGTTAGAGCGATATCTCAGCTGTGCGTGGATGGATCTGAAAGATTTTTACAGGGATGATGCATCATGAGAATATCTCTAGATGTGTTTTTCATTTTTTCGAAATTCACCTTCGTTCGCGATTTTGGGGGATTTTTGTTTTTTTTAAAAGGCAATTTGTCCAGCAGTTTTCTCGAGAACGGCTGAAGATATGAAAGTGAAACTCACCGATGTAATAGAACATCGAACTCCAATCTGAACAACGACCTTTATTTTTCGTCGTCGGCACTTATGGTCGCAAACGGAAGTGAATTCAAAAAGTCCCATTTTTCATCTTTTTTGTTTTTCGATATTTTTCTTTAGGATTTACAGGGTTTATAGTGTGTCTAATGAGAATTCTAAATATGTGTTCCGTGTCTTGATGCGTGCATATATTGAAAAGATATGACTGAACCAAACTTTGTCCCGCTGTCGGGGGTTCGAATCTCGCCGTGGGCGTTCCGAAATTTTTTCTTTGTTTCTGTCATTTTTCAATTTCAAATGTCTTTTCTCACTTTTATAACATGTATAAAATATTTTGCCGATTTTTAAAAGCTATATTTAAAGATATTTTGAGGTTTACCTTTAATAATCATGATATATGTTGAGAGACTGCTGTAAATGAACGTAAACAAAAAAAAATCTGAAATGGGATGAGGCAGCTTAGATCTCTAACGAAAAGTCGGTTGGAAGACTGCTTGTTGCTCTAGCAACAAGAACGCATCTAGTTCTTATTATTATTCTTTTTTTTGACAAAATTTTGTGCAGGCGATTTCTCGAAAACTATTCAGCAGTTTTTCATGAAACTTTTACCAAAAATGCGTCATTACACGAAGTTGTTACATCCGTAGAGAAATTTTAAAAATTCGCTTCTGGTGCCAAGTTATTGACAATTTCCTGATTTTAAAATGCAATTTTGTCGCCCCTTTTTCTCGAAAATGGCTAAAGATATGATCTGGAGACTTATTGGAGACGATAGTTTGTCACTTTGTGGTTTGCAGAATCACCTTCTCGTGCGTCGTCAGTACTTCCGGTCGTAACGAGATGCAAATTTAAAAAATACGTATTTTCTAAGTTTTTTGTTTTTCAGTATTTTTCATTTATTTTCAGTATGTTAAAAGAAAACCTTCTAATAATGCTTACTATATAATTTGTTTGAATGGTGATAAATCTTAACTCTAGATATTAGCATTCAAAAATCTGAAGCAGGTCCAAAATGGCGGCTGTTTCTGTCAACGCCGACATTTCGCAATAGGTGTTTACGGAGGCAGCCGAGCGTTTGTTTGAACGAAAGTAACATAAGAATAAATGAAATGCAAAGGAATACTTGGATTGTCACGTCGTATCAACGTTGCAGTTCTGTGTCAAACTAACGTCTTCTATAATTGGTTTTGGCTGGTTTTCAAAGTAGAAAAAGAAAAGACTAAATGTGCAAATGAAATTCGATACTTAATATCTCTTGTGGATCGCCGAAAAACAGATCCTAAATCATACTTATAAGTAATACTTTCTCAAAAAAAGAATATCAATTAATTTTGTCAGTATAAATATTAACCACTGTTTTTCCTATGCACACTTGTGTCATATTTTAAAAACTAATAAATTTGACAAAAATAAGAAAACCATTTTTTTTAAAGATCGCTTCATGGAGTTTATTTTAGCATTCTTGTCTCAAAGACCTGATTCAAGTTATTGAGCATAAATGATATCTGATTCCTGACCGTCGTAGGGCGAGCCATGTTTTCCGGCGAAACTTTTCAACCTTTTTCGATTAACTATTTGAGATATTTCACTTTGAGGATAAACAGGAAATTGAAAAAAAATCATATCCGTTTCACCGCTTTAGTATTACATGCATATATACAAAATGGAAGTTGTAAAATGTGTTAAACATACTTTCTAAACTTCGAATCTTAGACTATAAGAGCGTTCTTTTTTTTTTTAATTTCATTGAAGCTATCACACCTATTTAATAGAACATTCCAAAGAAAAGGGGCGAAGATTAACTCGTGGCGTTTGGCGCTAAAATTTGAATAGTGACCCGCCTTTCATAATTTTAAGAGAAAGCACTGTTTCGTTAATATATACAAGTAGATTAAGAGTAGAGATCCCGATAGCGTTATATTTAGTGCGTTGGAATTTCATGTGGCGACTTTGGTTCAATCCCCCTTGTGTGCAAATCTTTTCTTTTTAACTTTTCA